AGGCGGTCGGACTCGATGATCTATTGAGGTCCCTTCTGACCCTAGCATCTATGAATCTACGAATCTATGAATTCTACTGTTTTGACACCTTGGGCAGTCATTTACACCCAAGCAAAATAAGTATAAAATTACCATTTTGAGTTGGTAGTGCTTGACATCCATTTTCCATTGGTGATTATATATAATGCAAGGCAACAGAGAACTGGACCGTAATGGCCAGATCCTATTCCACCTAACAGATGTCTAAATGGCACTTTGCTATCTAAGTGCAATCCTATTCTATCTAACTTGAGTCCATGAAAAACCACAGAAACAAAATGGTGGGTGCAGCCTCACCACTTCCTATGACATAGCTTTAAGGCACAGAGAATGTATATTACACAAAGCCATGTTAACAGTTTTTCAGGGATTTGAAGAAGGTAGAATATGATCACTAACATTAGCAGAGGCTTTTTCACAATATGAAAGTTTTTCAGATCAGTCTCTAGAACCAGAAAGTACAGCTCAGATAAAAGGAAGGCAGATGTGTTCTCCCAATTTTCTTGCTCTTAAAAATGAACCAGCCAAACAAACAAACCAATGACCAGAGGAAAGGGAAGTCTCTTTCTTTGAAACTCATGAAGTATAGAGACATTATTATTGCTGTTTCTACAGCACTATCAACATATATTAAGCTGGACAGAAATTTACATTTAGCAGTTCCTGGCCTTAAGAGACAACATAATAAAGGAATACGCAGCCACAATACAAGACAAGACAAAATGAACAAGGAGAGCTCAGTGCTTATTACAGCTAAACAGATTCATGGAACAGGTACACAATTTTTCCTTAGTATGTAGATTTAAGTTCCTTGAAAAATTGGAGAATTCACTTGCCACCCTGTGAATAAATATGAATTTCAAAGCTAAAATAAATAGGAACTATATTTTATTATTTATTTTATTTGTATTATGTAAAGTAAATGAGTACTATATATCTAGCTGTGTTTACTATATGCTTCAAAAGAGGCATTATCATGAGCTCCCCAAATCAACCTATTTAGACAGAATCATTAGGCCCAGAGAGATTCTCAGACTCTTTTGGTCAGTAAGCTTCCACAAAGAACAGGAAGATGGCTTTCCTACTACCCCTTATCTCTCATTATCCCTGAAAGATACCACACCCAACATCAGGATGCAATAAAAGATTCGAAAAACTAGTCCTAGCAGATAGGTATTTAAAAGTTATCCCTTTCATCCCTTCCCCTGCTTAGTGATTTTTGTTAAGTTCTCCACTGGAGAACACATCTCTCAGATAAAATTAACAAGAACGGTGCAGTGAAGGTGAGCCATCTCAAAAGATTTTTTAAAATATTCTGTACTACCATACAGCATATAATCCCACAAAAATCTACATCCGTTACTGAAAGGCAAAGAAATTCTTGCAGAAAGCTACATAAATATTACATTTAAGAAGTTAAATCTACAGACAGTTAAATATGCAGAAATAAAGCTGAATGATCAAATGCCCTATTAGCATATTTTATTATGATTTATTTAATGATACAGTATAAATTGTAAGAGTACTGTTTGGTTTACACATGGTATGGACAAATATTGCGCACAGAATAAAAGAGCCATGGTCTATGGTAATGAGCAAAGAACTGGAAGATGAAAGACCTTGATTTTATTCACCACTGACTGACTACACTAACTCTAGAAGGTCAGTTAGCTTCTCACTGTCTCAATTTTTTATGTGTAAATACAGGTAAGGGGAAATTACTCACCAGTAATTCTCTTTGTTGTAGTCCTTTCCTCTGACACTACAGAAAGACAGTAGGGACAATTGGCATTATGGCTCCCCCTACCTAGAAGCAAGAGAGCAAAGGATGTATGATAGCGAGCTCCCTATAAACGGTCCAAGTCAGTCCCTCCCCTCTTTCAATTAAATACAGAAAATGAAGATAGAAAATATATAAAGAATAGAAATGCCAAGATAACACTCAGGAGGGCAGACTGGGAAATGAGAGAACTTTGACAAAGAGAATTACCAGGGAGTAATTTTCCCTTGTTCCTCTTCTCCCATCCTATGGAAAGACAGCAGGGACAAGTGGCAGATGTAACAAGCAGCACCCCTCTGGAAAGGCTTATCATAACTTGCTACTTTAACATCTTTAGCCAAAGGAGACACACTTAACAGGAAGAAGGTTCAGCTTGTAGTTTTTAAGTAAAGTGTGTGGGCAGTTTTACATATTTTACAATAGATTACTTAGCCCTTACGCTCCAGGAAAGAGAGATATTTCCAGAGGAATGAGTTCTGACAATCAGGGGACAAGTCTTGTTCGGCCATAACATAGGTTAGACAAGTATGCTCCTCAATCCATCTAGCAAAGAGAGCCTTGGGGTAGCAATAAAAACAGAAAATAACATTTTCTCAATGTCAAGAATAAAAAGCAAATAAAAATTCAAAACAATTATTTCCAAAGAACTGGTTGTTTGTCTAGAGAGATGACTGGATTAGGATAGGGGTAGAAATATATTGCTCATTGATCTGAAATTCTATATTCACTTTAGGACTAGACTCTGGAGGACAGTATAGTTTTAACCCCATCCAGAGAAAACTGCAAAAGAGAAGAATAAGAAAGCTAGGAAGCCTGGTTTCCCAGTCTCCTGGCTTAAAGTTGCTGCCATTAGTATACACTTCAGAGTAAGCAGCTTCATAGAGAGAGATGTCTAGTTTATTTTATGTATGTTTTGGCCCATCCAGTATAACATACATGTGCGTTCCAACAGTATATTAAACCATTATGAGTGGCATCCTCTTCTTCATCAATTGTTCAAAGAGTAGGCCCATAAACACTTGAAGAACAAGGAA